AGAAATGTACAAGTTCGTCCTAATAATATGGAAATTCAAGGGACCCAGAATATCCTAAACATTTTCTAAATGATAAACAATGTTGAGGGTCTGACATTTCCTGGTTTCAAAAGTGCCTACAAAGCTACAGTAATCAAGACTGTTTAGTATTGCCATAAGATAGCAACTATGGACTGAATTGTGTCTCCCCAAAATCTGTATGTTGAAGCCCTAATCCCCAGGGTGAGTATATTTGGAGACAGAGCCTTTAGGGAGTTAATTAAGGTTAAATGAGGCCATGGGGTAGGGCCCTTATCCCATAGGACTGGTATCCTTACAAGAAAAGGAAAAGACAACAAGAGTGCTCATCAACAGAGCAAAGGCCTTGCAAGGATAAAGCAAGAAGGAATCTATCTGTAAGCCAGAAAGTGAGGTCTCACCAGAAACCAACCCTGCTGGGACTTTGCTCTTGGATTTACAGCCTCCAGACTATGAGAAAATAAATTTCTGTTGTTTAAGCTACCCAGCCTGTGTTATTTCACTGTGGAAATTCTAGCAGGCTAAAGCAGAAGTCCTTCTCAATACTCACAGCAATTCATTATTCTTCCCTTTTACCACTTTTCAAAACTTACCTTGTAGTTTTTAAGTTACCTTTTAAATTTTTTTATACTTATTTGCATATGTCTTCTCTCCTCTAGTGCAATATTAACTCCTTAACAGGAATCATGTTTTATAAATTTGTGTCTTCCTCCCATAGCACCAAAAACAATGTGTTTATGTCCTTTGTTACATAATACATTTAAAATATGGATGTTCAGAGGTTGAAGCTGCAAAAATTGATTAGTAGTTATTAATATTAGGCAGAAGTATCACTGATATTGTCTTTATTTGGAGAGTAAATTCAGTTTAAGGACATGTCTATAAGTGCCAAATTGTCAAGGGGTGGACTGCGATGGTTAATTTTATGTGTCAACTTGGCTGGGCTATAGTACTCAGTTATTCAATCAAATGCTAATCTAGATGCTACTATGAAGGTGTTTGGAAGATGTAGTCAACATCTGCAATCAGTTGACTTTTAAATAAAGGAGATTATCTTCAATACTCTTAGTTGAAGGGCCTGAAAAGCAAAACAGAGATTTCCTTTAGGAAGAAGAAGTAACACATTAGTACTGCAACAACAGTGTCTGCCTAGAGTTAGCAGCCTGCCGGCCTGCCCAAAATGGACTGGCCAATTCACAATTGCATGAGCCGCTTCCTTGAAATAAATCTCTTAACTATGTGTAGTCTACTATTTCTGTTCCTCTGGAGAACGCTGACTGATATAAGCACCTTTTAGTAATTGTACTTATCAATGCTATCACTTTACATGTTCTGTAGGCTCCACTGGCCCAGAACATTTGCATGACTTAGGCCTACTCCTGTCTTTGTTGGTATGCTTACAGTCTTTGTTTCACTCTGGATATATAGAGAGCTTATCAAGCCCCCATGGCTGTGTCACCTCTTGGGGGCTCCTTTCAGATCCCTGCCTATTCTGACAATCCATCTCTTGCCTCATACAGGCTCACAATATCAAGGAAGCTGAGCCACCTGCCATGCACATTTACTTGCCACTGAGTCACCAGTTTAACTGATAATGCTCTAAATCAAGTGAGCCTCCTCGGATTATAGCAGCAAGACTTGGTTTTTATGTCCTGCCCCAACCAAGTTGAACTTCTGTGCCAATGGAACTGATGTAGGAGCTGGGAGTAATCCCAGGCAAGAACAACAAAACATCTTACTGTTTTTTTTGTGAAAATCAGTGGTTTTCATGAATAAGTACTTCTTAGAAGGTAGTGTGCCTTTCATATTTTTTCCATAGTGCCAAATGTTTCTTTTGACAGTTTTGTCCAGCTTTATAGTTGCTTTTTGAGAAATGATTTGTCACCCTCCTCACTCCATCGTGCTGAATTAAATATCCACCTTTTAATTTTACTTCACAAAAAATATCCAAAGAATTCCCCCCAGAGTTTGAGAAGTAATTATAGTATCTAATTTCCATGGTTGGATGATTTAGGATCCCAAGAATAACATTTTACTTTTTAGACCTCTGGAGGAGAAATGACAACCACATAAATGAGGAAGATGCTTCTTAACTCGTAGAGGACCAGGGCTTACTATATTTTGTATATAGTGTTGTATTTCAAAATATATTTTATATGTAGTATAGTTCCTATATTTTGGAGCTATTTCAACTTTATAACTGATTTAGTATATTTTTCTTTTAATTTCAGAGTTGAGTTAAGTTCCTTATGACTTCCCCTGAAATTGCTTCCCTCTCATGGGGGCAAATGAAAGTACAAGGCTCTACTAAAATCTATAAGGACTGCAAAGTGTGGCCAGGGGGAAGCCGGGCTTGGGATTGGAGAGAAACAGGAACTGAGGTAAGCTATTAGTGTATGGTTGACACTGCATAAAGCAGATGAAGGATTTCCAAACTCCTAAGCCATAATGACCAACTTTCAAGTGAAAAGTAACTGTCTCTTTCATATTCTCTCTCTCTCTCTCTCTCTCTCGATATAATTTACATACCATTAAACTCACCATTAAACTTTTAAAGTATGCAATTCAATGGACTTTTTTGGTCATAACCTTGTATAATAGTTTCCATTACTAATTCCAGAATATATTACCCCACAGGAAACCACATGACCATTAGTAGTCACTGCCTGTTCTTCCCTCCCTCCAGCTCCTGGCAACTACTACTTTCTGTTCCTATAGATGTGCCTGCCTATTCTAGACATTTCATATGAACAGAATCATTAACTTCTCTTCAGTACATACCTAGGATTGAAAATTTTGGGTCATATGGTAACTCTATGTTTCACCTTTTGAGGAAATGCCAGACTGTTTTCCAAAGTAACTGCACCATTTTACAGGCAGACAGGTTTCGTTGTCTTTTCCCTTTTCCAGTTGGTGGATTTTTTTTGGGGGGGGGTCATGCCTTTCACTGAAAATGGGTTTCAGACAGGTACTTTGCATAATTAGGAGGGGGTGCACAATTCTAATGTCCTACCTTGCTCAAGCCTTGTCTTCTAGTCTCAGAATGCCTCATAAAAGACTATGAGAATGGCAAGTGTACCTGCGTTACTTCGCTATCAGTTCACATTCTGAGTTTCAACTCTGTCTTCACTTTTAGCCTCTGGGAATTTCCATTTCCTTTTTCCAAGCTCAGCTATACATTTCAAGGGATGTTTATTTTTATCCAGCATTCGTATGGATTTTGTTTAAGGAAACTTTCCAGATGTTATAGTTTATCCCCTTGTTCTGCACAGTAAGGAGACATACCTACGTAGTCAGGCCCCATATAAAGAGAGTCTCAACACACACTCTCTGTTTATGCCTTGGTTTTGAACTGCATGCACTCATTGTTTTGATCCAGACTCCTAGTTGCTTGTTAGGTACCAACCTGGATCTTAACAAAAGGAATATACCTGGATTGGTAAAAGGAGTAGGAGGCTTTGAAGGGACAGAATGAGAGAAGGCTGAGAAATAAGAAGCCATAATGCTTGTGAAGCAAATGTCTCCATTGGATTGTTTCATAAAGAAAAGCTGGAGAGGTGCAAGAGTAGGCAGTGGTAGAGCTGACAGAGTGTTGGCAGAGCTAAGGTTACATTTTATTCGGTGGACAAGGCATAGCCATTTCAGATACTTAAGCAGGAGATTGATGTGACTGACAAAGATTATCCAGACTATGGGTTTAAGATATATTGTAGAACCAACTTATGAGTGTGCCACGTTGGAGAGATTTTTTTTCTTCAAAAATGGACTTAACACTATATATTATATTTTTCCCATATAAGACTATATTAGTTAATATTACCATTAAACTCATTTTGTAATCAAGGAAACTTAAGTACAGAGAAGTTACACAGTTGTTCAAGCACAGAGCTTAGAAAAATCTGAAGTCAAATAGTCAATCCAGGTCATATTCTAACCTTCTTTCCTGTTCCTTTCTACTACATCATGATTTCTCTTATAAACTATAACATTAAAAAATACAAAACTGTAAATGATATTATGTTTCATTTGTTTATAATTTTTTGACATATAGTGGGTTTACAATGTTGTGTCAATTTCTGGTGTACAGCATAATGTCTGTCATACATATACATACATGCATTCCTTTTCATATTCTTTTTCATTATAGTTTAAAATAATTGAAATACTTAGGTATAAACCTAACATAATATGCAAAGGGTCTGCATTACTAAAACTATAAAACTGATGTGAGAAATCAAAGAAGATCTCAATAAATGGAGAAATTTTATTTTCATTGATAAAAAATTACACAAAACTGTGAAGGTACCATTGATGATAATTTGAAAATAAGAAATGTTTGCTGTAATGTTTTTATCTTGTTAAGTTTCATTTGTCAGCAGAATACACAAGAAGAAATGTTCTAGAACTAGCTGGAGAAAGAACTGGGAAAGATGAGAGGAAGCTGAAGTGTTCAACTAGAACTCATCTGCGTTGAGGCTAAAGGACATCAGATTAAAGCTATTAAGCCTCAGAGTCCTCATCTACAAATGGAATAATAACATTACCCACCTTTTAGAGCTGATCTTAGGATTAATGTACTGTGCTCAATATGGTGTAGGCACTCAATAAGTGAAGCTGTTATTGTTAAGTTGGTAGTAGTGTAGGTGGAAACAAGACAGCAAATTTGAAAACTATTAAAGTGAAATTGGCAGGATAAGGTGGTTTCTTAGATTTCGCAGGTAAAGGAGAATTCGAATGTAGGTAAGTGGGAATATGGTGGTGCCATTTATTGAGATTGGGTATATCAAGAGGAGGAACAGATATGTTTGTGTTTGGGGCACAGGTTGGGTAGAGAAAATGATTAATTCTTTTGGAATATGTTGAGCTGAACTTACATTAGGGCAGCTAGATAGAGATACCTAGTATATCTTCAGACTCATAGGTCCAGGCACTGTCATATTTTAGCTAGATAATCTTAACCAAGTTATTTAGCCTCTCTGTACCTCAGTTTCACCATCATAAAAGGAGAATAATAATATCTGTTTGTCATCAGTTGATACATGGGTTGGGAAGAAAAACTTTAAAAAATGCATGCCACTTGCTATCATGCAAATTTATTCTTTCCTTTTTCTCAATCAGTATTTCTCAGTGTGATTCATGGATCTCTTGCATCAGAATCACCTAGGACTTGTTTAAAATGCATATTCTGTATCTCTCTCACTCCTCCCAACTACTGAATCAGAATCTCTTGTGGGTGGGGCCTGGAAAACAGTGTATTTCATGTGGTTGCTTTGAATACTAAGTATGTTCATCTTTGTAAAGCATCCACCATAGTGCCTGTCACATAGTAGGTACTTCATTTTTTTAAAGTTAATTTTCTCCTCCTGAGTTATGTAGCACAATGCCTAGCACATAATACTGCTCTACACTATTCTGCTATAGACTATTAGTCTCTCCCAATGTAACTATAGAAATGACCAAATTACTTTTCTATCTACTATTAAAATGACCAAATTACTTCTTTTAAAAGAGGCTTGGTGGGGAAGGTATAGCTCAAGTGGTAGAGTGCATGCTTAGCACACACGAGGTCCTGGGTTCAATCCCTAGTACCTCCTCCAAAAATAAATAAACCTAATTACCTCCCCACCCCCTGCCAAAATAAAATAATAATACAATAATAAATAAACAAAATAACATGACACACTCCGATTTGTACATCAAATCCTGCTTAATAGGCAATCCTTGAGGGGATTAAATGCATAAGAGTATTTAGGGGATTTCTTATTACTTTGGACTACTACGTTTGTTTATTACATCACCTGATGGAGGTATTATCTCTGGTTATTCTTTATGCTCTAAGTATACAGTAGTATCATTCAGATATTCTTTTTAATGAACTACCCAAAACTTAGTGATGTATAATAAGAATTTATTATCATGCTTGTAGATCTAGCTAGAGCAGCTCCACTCCAAGCTACACGTGGCAAGTTGGCTGGGTGGCTCTGCTCTATATGTCTCTTATCCTCCGTGGACCAACGAGCTAGCCAGGACCTGATCTTCTCATGGTGCTAGCTGATGTTCACAAACAGAAGCTCCACTGAGCAAGTACATTTCAAAGCTTTGCTTGCCCTGGGTTCACCAACATCAGTGTTCCATGTCAGCAGGGCATATAAGTATAATTTGCCCACATTAAGAGGGCAAGAGGAGTAAATATTTGCTGAACAGTCATCCAAACTATAAAAATATTCAATTACATGTTGCCCATCTGCATATGAGTTGTTCCTTGGGCAACTTAAACTGAACACATCCAAAGCTGACTTCATTTTCTTTTCCCTGCCTTCCCACCCCTCAGATATCCAGGTATCTTCTTGTGTCCCCCATCTCCATTAATGCTGCCACTATCCACATGGTCACCAGAAGAGAAACATCAAAAACAATTTTTATTTCTCCAATATTCTCCTCCACCATATCCAGCAAAGTCCGATTGTTGACTTAGCCTCAGCAAGGTCTTTTGTATTTACTCCCTCCTGGTGCCCAGTTCTCTCGCCTGGACTATGGCATCAATCTCGTACCTGGTCTTCCTGCCTCTTATTCTATCTTTTTCAGGCCTGTCTTCTGTTATAATTTCTAAACGATAGAACTGGTCATGTCACTGCTCTGCTTAGAAAACTTTAAAGGCTTTCCATAGACCTCAAAATTAAGCAAAAACTCCTTAGGATAGTGTTCAGGACCTTTTTTAAAAAAATGATACAGTTCCAAATTTTCTTTTCAGTGTCATCACCTGTATTTCATAACACACATCTGAAGACCTAGCTATTCCATACCAAATACTTATTCCCTTACAAACCTACCATGATCCTTCATTCTCTATACCTTTGCTAAAACCATTTCCTTTACTGGAAATGACCTGCTCCCCTTTGTACCTGTTGAAATCTCATATATCCTTCAGTTCCTAGCTTTTGTTTTATCTCCTCTATGAACACTTCCTGATAGTCCTTGTGATAATGAATTGCTTACTCCCTTCTCAGTGTTTCTGTAATACTTTGTGCCTCTGTTTCAGCACTTAGTGCCGCTCACCTGTATCATCCTGAGTGTGTATTTATGTGTTTCCCTCACTAAGTGGTGAACTCCCCAAGGGCAAGAACTGTGCATTAACACAGTGCCTATAAAGTAGGAACTCAATAAATGTTGGCTGCACTGAATTTTTCATTATAAATGTCGTTAAAAATATTTTTATTTTCTTTGTGACATTCCCTCTGAGGTAGGTTAATGTTGTGATTCCTTTTTTTATTAGTTTAAAGGATGGAGAGGCAGAATATATAAGTGATTGCAGAATGGAAATATCAAGAAAATTTATTATCTTCAACCAGTGTCCTTGAAATAATAATTACTACCACCTACT